AATTCTGTGTACAAATGAGCGCTCCCGTTTGTTGGGCGTAGACCATTTTTCGGTAAATAAACGGTTTGTTTATTGATTTATTTGTTCGTTTAATGCATCCAGCTTTATCAAACAAGGTGAGCGAACATACGATAAAGAAATGTTCGACTAGGTTAATTAAAGCCAGGAACTGAGAGAAAAAGGTAGGACACGGTTTGTTGTTTAGAAGCTGTCCAAAAGATCGCCATAAACTGCAACCCCTTCGAAATCACCAGAGCACAATAGGTTCGCAACTAAACGGAAAACTGATTAAGCGTATCAAACCGAAAATAGCAGCTGACCGAATGAAGCGCGCTGTTGTGATATATTGGCAATGCTACAGCCTGCCGTTAGCACGTGTGAGACAGGGTTGACGCAGAAATGACATGTAGGTGTCTATCGGTCGACAATCTACCTGTTATCTATGGTTCTTGCTTCCTGACCCATACTAATGAATTCAGCGAGAATGGAGGCCTCATCCCTATCCGAATCAAACTAGAATCACTGTGGTTCACAAAACTGATGAGCTACCCATTTTGCACACTTTGTTGACATGAGCTAGTTTGTACTAACGACCTTCTCCTTCTAGGTCTGTTCGGACAAATAGAGCTCATCTTCGCTGCTACTAATTAAATGCCTCTGTGTCCACCTTAAATTAGTCTTTAATCTCCCACTCCAATAAAAGATAATCTGGAAATCACCTAGTTCATTCACACCACTATCTTCGCGATTTTTCTGGTGGCATCTGGTGAGGAAGTACCCAGAGTTTGAAACGAGCAGTCCTTCTAAGATACTCCGTTTCTCAGCTGCAGATGTCTCAAGCATTCCAAACACAAATACAAAATACATAAGAATATTGTTATCCTAAATGATGAGAGGTATCGAATTAGGGTCTGCTATCTAACTTATGCAAGCAGTGTTGAGTATTACTATTGATTTTGTCCAGCTACTGCTCAAATCGTCGCTCCACTCCGCAAACCACCAGCGGTGGGGGTGGGTGAGGTTGGGTGGGGGCAAAGGATCTTATGTTGTAAGCAAGCGCCAGAGCTTATGGATCTTTGCGTTAATGCTTGGAATGTTATAATTTAGCAATATGCGGCATGGATGGTTTTGGTGTGGCCCTCTCCCATCCCTGCTGCATAACCGGGCCAGACCATCATATTGCTTCCTTTGAAGTATTCTCCTGTATTTGTATGTTTGTTGGTGCTGAAACTAGGTGCGATAACCTACCCCATGGACGGATGTTTGCCGTTAAGCAAAATACAACCGGTTTCTTCAGTGAACACCGACAAAAGCACAAGAGCAATGACTCGATAAGTTCTGTAAGGGTCTGACATCCATGTTTAACAGTTTTACGACCCACTTTTGACGTGCTTCCATTGGGTTTCTGCTTGACGGGTGAAATTGGTAGAAAACTTTTAAGCCAACTGACTAGAAAAGTCGACTGGCTTTACGAACTTGAGCCCCCACGGTAGTGTACTCCCGCAACAAATTCATTGCTTTAAATCATTGGGTTGATAATTAACTGGTCCAGCCAATGACATATTTTGTGCTTACTCTGATTTGTGAAAATATAAATTGATTTTGCCTGTTAACAACGAAAGGAGTTGGACTATTGGCACATATCCATTAAAAAATTGAGTGAGTTCATCAAGATTCATGATGTTGTATCTGGAACAACACCCAAGCGTAAGCAATAGGTGCGTTGCTTTTCACACAACAGTTTAACTATGATCAAATGCTATTTGTAATTAAAAAGAAGGAAATATTCTAGGAACACGTTTAGCTTTTAACTATTTCTCTACTGTGCGACCCAATGTCACACATTTGCAAAGATTGATATTAAGCGTGATGTGTTGCAAAATTAGCCCGGCTCCTCAAACCTTCGCCCGAGATCGGTTATGAATGAAACCAAGAGATTGTGAAATACATATATTCAGTTACCGAGAATAACTTAAAGTAATTCGAGACTCTGTGTTTGGATTATAGATGGCCATCTTGTCCCTCTAATTGATTAGAATAGTCTAGCACGCTGCAGTAATCCGTTAGAGTCAGTTGGTGTAATTGGTGTTAGAGTGATTTCAGCGTCAATGAAAGAAGCAGTAATCTAGGAACAAATACCGCAAAACTAGGGTCCCATGATTTGCATTCTAACACTTGGAATAGCAGTGAGTTTGCAGCAGACCTCTAAAGAAACGGAGTATGAAATTAAAGCTAGACGATTCATAGACCATGTAAAGAACTGCTGACCTAAAAGCTAAGATGATCCAATTTATTTAGCCTACTTGAATTCTAAAGCAATTACGTAACTCCTTCAATAATGCAAAGGACGCGAAGCATATGATAAAACAAGGGTGGGCATCATATAGGACACACAGTTGGTGGACATGCAGCATCTCTGATGCAGCTCCAACATTAGTATTATGAAAAACAAATGATGCGCACATACATTCGCAGTTATACTCCACGCTGCTACTGCGTTCACGTCGAGTAACTTCAGGTTGATCCAGCAATTGAGTCTGAATTTTGTTCGGACTCTCTTCTAGCCGGTTTTTAACAAGAAGACAAGCTAGCGCCGCAGCGTGCACCAACAGAAGTTAACAAAATTAGCTCGTTGTCTATAGTCAAACAGTTCGTCCATTGATTTAAGCGGGTCAGACAGAAAGAATAGCGTTAACTCTACCCACAAGGTCAGGAAGTAGATGCGAAGAAATAAGAAACGCCTTCACGCATGTTGTTAAAGAGAGGATGATAAAGAAAAAAAGGAGCACAAATCCAGCAGATAAGAGCTACTAAATTTCGAGCGATTTACGAGTATGGGTGTCAAGTTATAGAGAGGGTATTTTAAGGCATTTTAAAGCTACCCTTTGGTGGCTCATATACTTAGCCATTATAACGAAATGTGCCATTTGAAATCGGTCGATTGAGGTAAGCCACACATACATGGAGAGTTGATAAAGCCGAGGTACTAAATGGCGAAAACGTCAGAGTAACCCACGCATAATGCGTAGTCCCCCAGGTGGATGAGTGATTCCTAATTCAGGTAAGCATATTCAAGGCGCACCTGGGTAATGGGAAGTTTATATACCTAAAACCAGAAAAGGTTTGTGTTGTCACTTTCAAAAGTGGTTGCCGTTCAGAGACAGCCAACTATCGACCAGTGACTCTCTTCCCGGTGCTTTATAAGGTGATGGAGCCGATCATAGCTGAGGCTGTAATGGGCTAATTTGAAAGGTCTAACATCACCACACCGGAGCAACACGGAGTACGTCAGCATCGGTCATGTATTACCAACCAACTGCTTGCTCGTAGCAGTTGCACTGAGATAGCCGAAAGTGGGACCGGTATTGATTTCAGCTACCTAGAATTTTCCAAAGCATTCCACCACCTAGATCACCGCATTCTTCACCAAAATCTGTAATCATACGGAGTTCGAAATCCTGTCACTGGATGGATCAGAAAGTTTCTCTTGCGGCGACGCCTTCAGAGTGGAGTTCAAAGTTGATTTTCTGACCCAATTGATGTGGACTGCGGTGTTCCACCAGGGTCGGTGTTGGGGTTGCGGTTATTCTTGTTCTACATTAACCACCTTGCGAGTGTCATCAAGTGAAACTTTCTGCTTTGTGCCGGTGAAATCAAGATATGGAGGGCCGTCGACTGTCATGAAAATCACGATATGTTGCAACGAGACTTAGACTGCGCTTTTGAATGCTCAAACCTAAATCTAGTTCCGTTTAACACCGAAAAGTGCAAATCCGTGCATGTCCGCCACAAACCCACGAACGCATGTAAGCTTGGAGACGATATGCTGAACACGGCCTTACGAGAGCCAGACTATGGGGTGGTAATCCAAAGCGACCTCGGCTGTTCGGCGCAGTCTTCGAAGGCGGCCAAAATTGCGAACCATCACGTTGGTCTGTTACTGAGGGCGTTCGGGTGCTCGACCCCTCCACCTTCCCCTAAATGCTCAATGCGTATGTGAGGTGCTATGTAGAATACGCGATCCACGCTCGGTACTCCTGTTTGAAACGCGACCTGGTTCCACTGGAGACCGCAAAGCGACGGGCAACGAAAAATGAGAATGGTTTGTCCCATGTGCAATATCACAGGCGACCGAAAGCCCTGGGAGTGTACAGCGGAAGATATGGTCGTCTACGAAATGACCTCATCTTGGCGTTCCAGATTTTGAAGAACCCCGCTCAAGCTTGCCGCCAACTCCTGAAGCTTAGCTGCAGCACAGAATTGCGAGCTCATAAATTGGAACTTGTCACCCAGTACAGTCGGCTTGAGTGCCGGCGGAATTACTTCTCCATTCGAGTTTGTCAACCGTGGATCACTCTTTCGACTTTGTCATTTCAACGCCCACGCTACCCATTTTTAAAAAACTACTGGAAGATGCTTTACATTATTTACATTACTTGATCTGAATTCAGTTCATTGGGTGACAACAAGATGCAGACAAACTTTGTGCTCACCAACCCCTGGAAATTGGGTTAGCCGAATATACCTATGTGTTAAGGTGGATATTCTGGTGAGTCCACAGATGTCTTTTTCACTTTGTGGAACGATTGAACTAACGTTATTCCCACAAACCATTCCACGGGACTTGTCAAGTCTTGGCTTTTGTATCCGTATTATACCATTGTTTCATTGTTTCCACTCAGTGGATTATAACTGAAAAAGTTGGTTATCACGCGAAATATTTTGAAACCTTTGTCAACACGAGAAAAATCCTGATCGGAATGACGCTGAAAGTTTGACTCACCTGTTCGCCCAGCTCCAAGAGAACAATGCAATAACAATGGACCATTATTTACAGGTGTCACCGTGCCTATACGCCGCATGAACAGTAGAAACGTGGTCGAATGTATCGGGCTCATTTCCTCAGGCCAGTTGGTATACTGCAAATGCCAAACTTTTCGCTGTTCTGAGCACCTGAAATGAAACATTAAGCAGATTCACTAAAATAGCATCTGCTAAAATAAGCTGTATAAGGTGGTAAAACGGTAGATTTAATAGCCAAGATAAGGATGTAGACAAATATTCCCAATAAAAATAAAACGAACCTGGAATGTCAGGTAGCTTCTTAAAACACTTCCAACCATACGAATTTTGAAAATATACAAAGTTGGTAATCATCTACATTGTAGTTGTTCAACTTTGCTTTGATTGTGTAACGTTTACCGACAGCGTTCGACACACTGCTGACCGTAGGAAAGCGTTGAATCACATACGTTGGGTAGCAATGACGGCACTTATAACAATATACTGGCCCATAGTCGCAAATATATTGCCACTGTCAAACAGTTCAAACTCGGCCAAGCCTCATATCGAAGAATATGTACAACCAACTACCGAGGGGCAAACGGCATACTTCTGCTGCTTAGATCAGATCTTTGTTTATCCGCTGCATGATTGATCGCAAACTGTGCACCCCTTGTTCTGTGACACACGCCCGACCTACACTGGTTCATATCAGATGACTGCCCAGGGTCAATCGCGGAAGCGGATGGAAGTAAAGAACAACACTCCTTCTCTACTGCTGCGTATGGATTATTTTTGAACGGGCCAACACGGTGTACTTTTGGATGACCTAACTTCAGATGTTCATCCACTGCATGCCACGTTCCCAATGAGCGTAAGTTCACAAAGCATAACAAAACAAGTCGTCTTAGGCGAATAAGAGTACATCGAATTTTCGCGGATGCCATATGGGGGCCTTTAAATCGGCTGTGCCGTTGTCACTGAACATCGTTTTTACAATATCGCAATGGATACATTAGTGTTCACTGAATATTTCAATATGGAAAGTTGTCAACCTATTTTCAAGGTCACCGCTGCTGTTCTCTGCGTAATCTTTGATAACAATTCAAGATACTGCGCAAATGAAGATGGACGGTCCCGATTGAATGTCTAGCTTGCAACACTGGCTTTAAATTATTTTATCCAGAACTGTTTAATTGTTGCTCTTTTACGCCGATCGTTTACTTAAGTGACACTTCTACTCAGTGTCCTGTTATCTATTCCTACAAATTTATTCTTGATAAGCTAAGTTTAGCTCATCCATTGTCGATATTATAAAGTGTTGAAAATATACCCACCTGGATACATGAAGCTTTATTTGACTTTACTTCATTTGAGAAATGTAGAACGCTATGATTGTAAGTCCAGCTGTAGTAAAATACACTTAGAATTAAGCAATATCGGATTATCCAACCACGTGAATTAAAATACTCCATTGGTTTGCAGTTAAAACTTGCAGTTCCTGTGCGATTGTAGACTAGGACAGGGTAGCCCCAACAGTTTGTGGTTCCACCGCGATACACCTATAACGTGATAGTTGCCAAGAACACACTGTTCTATCACTTCTTAGACTGTCCATAGACAGTCAGTATGTGCTCAGTAGTAACACGAGGGAAGTTTAGTCAGTAATTCGTTGACGAAATGTAGGTTTCGTAACTGGGTTAGTTATCGACTGGTAGAATCAGCCCACATCACCGATGTACATGGTTTTATGATTTATCGCTGGCCAGCACATAAGGTAACCATCAAGCGGAATCTAATCCGGCCTACGATTATGAGTTGACGTCTTTTAGATATCATCCCAAACGACTCGGTTTACTTGGCTAATGTACCAACCATAAAGCCTGAGAAATACCGGTGCGTGGTGGCGGTCAAGAGTTAACTAGACAAAAGATTATTCGTGTCGGCACACGAGTAGAGCAAATACTCTTACGGTATGTCACTTCTTCGGAACGACGGAAAGGTAGTGAAGTGGAAATGATCATCTGTTAGATAACGATCTTTCGCCGTGAGATTTGAGTTTATTCCAAAAAGTGTGTCACTGATCTCCTCTGGTGAAAAATGTGGTTGAAGGACTACGATATATGTTAAGAGGATGCGTACTGGACCTATATTTTTCGAGACAATTCTTAGTTCCTTACTTTGGTTGCGCTACAGTTTGTGTCTGTAGAGTTGTGTAAACTCATCAATTGTTTCCTTTGCTCGGCCAGCCTACGTATTTCGTAATGTATTTCTGGTCGGGCCCACTTCAACTAATACCGTTTCATCGAACTAGCGTGCATGGATCACTCTTTTCCTACTTCGCATTCGCTAGTATTATTTGGTGTCTCAAATGCTGATGGCTCTAAGTTGGTTTAGTAGCCTTGCTTCAATTACGGTGGTACCCCATTAGAAAAATGAAGCAGTTTTCGCATGTATACACTTCGGCCCTGGTTCGTCTTCGGGTTACCTGGGGCGAAACACTCGGCGGCGACACAGCAATACACGCCTCGCTTCCGTAGTTTATCTACCGCTTAATTCCACCCCGGTGTTATACTACAAACTAATATTTGCATTTCACATTGTGCTAAATCAAAGTGCACACATATCCTCATCAATGGAGACTTCAACGTCCATGATTTGGAAACTCCAACAAACCAGGGAGAACAGCCCAAAGCCAGTTTGTGAGCTAATCTAGCTCACACATTACAAGCACGTCACCACTCCCAGCAGGTGCAGAACAACAAACAACCCAACAATGTTAGATCCAGTGCTCTCCAGAGATAAGCTCATAAAGGAGGATATCCATCTGAACCTATCAATCGCGTCCCGTAAAGCTTCGCCCATACTTACAAAGATCATGAAAACGATCACCGCAGTCACACTGATGGGCTGTCTTGAAAGCTGCGGCATCATCACACCGGAGCAGCAAGGATTTCATCAACATACGTCATGTACCACTGTTCTGCTGATAGCACGTGACAACTACGTAGAAACGGTCGATGAATGAGTAAGAATTGGGGTGATCTGTGTGTATTTTCGAAAGCTTTCGACCCCTTAATACATCGTATTCCACTGCATAAAGTTCATCAATACGGCATCGGAGTTCCAGTGTTAGGATGGATCAGCAATTTTCTCCACGAAAAGCAACTGGAAGTCAGAGTTCGAACATATCCATCCGACTCGATTCGAGTGGAGTGCGGCGTACCACAAGGTCCGGTACCTGGGTCTCCAATTTCCACAGTTTTCATTAATGATCTAACGGGAGTTTTCGCTACAAAGTCTTTACTCTTCGCGGACGACGTTGAATTTTCGTGGATGATCATGGGAATATACCTTCAAGAGATCCTCCATCGCGAGCTCGATGAGGCCTGACATTGTTCGGTGAGGAAATCACTGTCATTCAACGTCGACACATGCCGCGTTGACCACATCTACGATCGACACGCCTACATCTACAATCTTGGGGCACAGGATATGCAGACCAGCTCTCAGGAAGGTGAGTTTGTTGTGCTGGAGAAGGACGATCTCGATTGTTCCAGACAGTTAGAGCTAACCAGCATGTTGGTCTGTTGCGATGGGCTTCAGGAATTTTGAATCCACCCGTCTTATCTCTGATGTTCAATGCCTACATGTATACCTATATCGAATACGCTATCCAGGCTTGGTAAACTTGTCTTAAGTGCGACCTTGCAACATTCGAATTTTCTTGACTTCGAGCAACGAAATTTGTCAAGGATTTGCATCACATTCTGTAGCAGGAAAGACTGATTGGACCAGGAGTGTTCAGTGGACGCTATCGACGGTTACGTGGATACCTCATATTATTTTAACGTGACCACAGTCACGTATGTTATCAATTTTTAAAACACATCCCGAACACGAACCCGATTTGTGGTCGCCTGGAACTGAGTCCACAATACTGTCAACTATATCGTTAACGAAATTAGTTCTCCCTCCGTGTGTGCCAACCTTGGAGCACCCTCCCACACTCAGTTGTCTGCAACCCCATCCTAGCTATGTACAAAAACTGGTCGGGCATCATGTTGGACGCACTAGATATTCTAACAAGAACTGATATTCTAGATATGTTCAGGCTAACTAGGCTCATTGTGATTGGGACCAATAGTGACGCGCTTAGATCTGTGCAACGGGGTGAGCAGTCTGCTTGTTATTGGCAATGAGTATTTCGCCTGACAAATTGTTACTGCGTTTCACCTGGTACTATCTCACTCCTATACCCCTCGTTCTATACGCCATAAGTCTATCGCTTCACTGATGCAGATTTTTTTGGTCTAATGATGTATTATACGAAGTTCAATTTCTCGTGTTACCAACCTACGTGACATGTGAATCTTATGCTTTTTGCCTGTCATAATCCACTGTTCCATTGTTTCGCATGCTAGTGTTTTCTTATTTTGTCAAACTTGTTACTCTGCTCTTCCAGCTCACTAAATTGAGATAAATCTCATCACGTCTGATCAGCCATTGTAGACATCTAGGGATAATAAGACGTCATCCGCAGTGTCCGCTCAGGAGGCATTTGTTTTATCACTCATTGCTCGAGAGCGATTGTCGCGCAAGGTGTTCAAAAATACTCGTGAGATCTTGAAGTCCATTACTGTTTCGTTTAGACGCTGAAACTATATCCCGTTAGAATTTTAATCTGTTGGGTAACGACCATCCTCTCTTACAATTTTTACTTTGGGCCTCCACTATGTCAATTCCACCACGTCACAATGTATTAGGCGGTAAAGTGACCACACGGTATTCATTTTGGCACATAGTCCCGCAAGGAAGTAAAATACAGAGGCAGGTAAGCAACACTGAAAATAATGACTGGGTTACAAATTGTTATACACTTCTTACTTGGAGCATATGTGTCATGCTCAACTAAAAAGTGTAACTCACCGTTGTTTTACTTGAGCGCCTCAACGGATGCATTGATTACACAACTGTTCATTATTAACTTTAGCATCTCTGACGAACTGGAGCGTAATGCGGACATCGAAGACCAATATCTGGTTGCTATGCTTCCAATCCCTAATCCACACCACCACTTATCCAGTAAAATAAAGCGGAAATAGTTTGGTTGCTTACAAATGTCGAGCATGGTAGACCAGAATTACGGGATCGGCCTACAGACTGTGAAA